CACAGCACAGACAAGAGGGAGAAGGGTACACAGCACAGACAAGAGGGAGAAGGGTACACAGCACAGACAAGAGGGAGAAGGGTACACAGCACAGACAAGAGGGAGAAGGGTACACAGCACAGACAAGAGGGAGAAGGGTACACAGCACAGACAAGAGGGAGAAGGGTACACAGCACAGACAAGAGGGAGAAGGGTACACAGCACAGACAAGAGGGAGAAGAGTACACAGCACAGACAAGAGGGAGAAGAGTACACAGCACAGACAAGAGGGAGAAGAGTACACAGCACAGACAAGAGGGAGAAGAGTACACAGCACAGACAAGAGGGAGAAGAGTACACAGCACAGACAAGAGGGAGAAGAGTACACAGCACAGACAAGAGGGAGAAGAGTACACAGCACAGACAAGAGGGAGAAGAGTACACAGCACAGACAAGAGGGAGAAGAGTACACAGCACAGACAAGAGGGAGAAGAGTACACAGCACAGACAAGAGGGAGTACACAGCACAGAGAGAAGAGTACACAGACAGGGAGAAGAGTACACAGTGCATGGGGAGAGCGGTGAGAAGCGTGCAGCAGCAGAGAGTCCCCCTCCCGGCAGCTCCCTCTCCCCATCAGGTGTCAGCCGAACACTTGCACTCTCGCCTCCAGGGCGAAGGGGGAGCTGCTGCTGCTCGGCTCCGGCTACTATACCTTCATGAAAGTCTCTACAGCGCCTTTAGCTATGTCCAGGTAGGTAGTGCCCAGGTGGCTGCGCTGGTTCATGGAAGCGGACGTATCTAGCAGGAAAAGTAAAATGGGCATATTGCTGCATCTACATGGGCCAGTCCCCTTCACCCAGGCCGGACAGAGTACGAGATATGAAGGGGGGGCACTTCCCTGACACTAGCAGCCAATGTGTCTCTTCCACAGCCCCATCCCCTCTTTGTGTGACCGCCTTGTGGCCTCCCGTATTCTCCAGCCCTAGAAAGGAGGATATTTATAGGGGCTTGACGCTCATATGTCTCATTATAAAACCCCTCCAGCGAGGCCTGTGGCTCAGTGTGGTGTTTGTGGGCTGAAGGGGGGCTTGGGGTGCTGCACTAGCTTGTTTATACCCCCTCCGTGGATGTGACAGAAGTTTGAATGACTTCAGCACTACTTCCCCTCTCGTAGCCTCTGTCTCCCTCTACTGAGCGCTTCCTTTCGCACTCGCGGCTTTTAAGGCGGGCGGGAGGGGTTTCGGTGGTTCCTAGATAAGACGTCGAAAAGCGCAGCTCGCAAGGAGACGGGCCGATGTCGCTAAAGGTGGCCCTGCGCGGATCGATTCGTCAGCGATCTCCAACAGACCGCCCGTCATCGATTGAAATATCAAACAATGCAACACATATAAAGTACGATCTATCAGAAATGATTTAAATCGATTGGTTGTCTGATACGCGTGCAGGTATCCGGCCGATCAGAAATAATCGATAAAACCCCATTGACCTGCCAGCAATGAAATCGATTAAAAACCGAATAAATCGATGGGATGGTGGGGGTTGTAGTTTTACCGTTTTTAGTCCCAATATTTTAGTCTCGATCGATCGTATTGATACATGTGTGCCTACCAGACTAATAAGAGAGCATGGTAAACCCTTTATGCCCTTGTTAATACTCCATGTTGTGGGGGGGGTTATATAATGTGGCTGCAATGTCACCAGCTCCTGGGGGTCCTCCTGCCAGCATGCCGCTCTCGGGCACATTACATATCAGATGACAAATATAAACAAAGCCGTGCTGGATGCCCCTTGGCTCCTGGCTTGGGACTCTGGTCACATGCTCTGGGGCCCCTGTTTATATAATGCAGAGACCAGCTTCTATAGCAGGCTTGGGTGCCTGGGGCCCCCTTCAGATCCGGGACAGATTCAAGTGTCAGCATCCTCTGCTTAGGAATGTCAGAGCAGGCAGGGAATTGTACTTCATCTCTGGCAGGTAGCTGTCTTGATATGCCAGCTCGTGGGTCATGTTGGCATCTGTAGTGCCACAGCAGATTGGGCCAGTGTAGGCAGAGAAGACCCACAATGTAAAGGAACCTTCTGCCAGCTTATACTTGGACCTGCTGCACTCTGCAGCAAGAGGGTTAACTGAAGCCTGGGCTGTAAAAGTGAGTGATGCTTCGGTAACGTGTCATAAGTCACCAGGGGGCATTGCCTTGGCATGCTGAGACCTGTAGTATCCTAACAGCTGGAATGCAGCAGCAGTCTCCAATCCGGTCTCAGACTTGGAGACAGCTGCCTGTGTCATGGCATTCTAGGACTATAGGAAAGCGGGTCACTTTTGCTGATGTCGATCCAGAAGTTGCAGCATATGCATTGTTATGTTCGGCTCAGAGTCGTGTTTCACTATCCGAGTGTCACGCAGACAAAGACCGCTCTATAAGCCACATACAAGCAAGCACTTGTACTTGGAAGGTTACATTCGAGTTTATCTAGTTTGCTTCCTGTGAGCTTTCCATTTCCCGGGCCGTACGTCCACTTATGAAGCCCCCGTGGGCGATGGCCTTATTATGATTTCTACACCAAATGCTTTGTTTTGGTTATCTTGTTCACGCATCCGGCTCCTCACTCGGCTGTGTTTTCATAATGCAGCATCAAGAAATGTCGAGGCATTAATGTGCACGCTATTGCTGAATAGGCAGTGACAGCAGACATGGGAGTAGAGAGAACATCAAACCCCACCCAAGTCTGAGGTCATGTTTACTGGGGAACTTTAATAGTCATGTATCCGTCTGAGTGAAATGCTCTGGCTGTGATGAACTCTTTCATGGGATATATCTTCATGTCGATGTGCAAAAGTGATATACATCCAGGAGTATTTGTTATTATTTGTCCATCTCAAGGTTGGTGATGACATTCACATATTTTATACAATAAAAGCCTGTGTATGAGTAGAGGAGGTTCTCTGTTGTTAATTGCCTTTTTCTCTCTCCTGTGGAATGTTTTGTACAATTGAAATTCAATCAAAGAAACGGAAAAAACATGAACAAATAAGCTTTTATAAAGGCTGGTAGAGCGGAAGTAATGCCGCCCCCAGGACCTTTTAGGGCTTGTTCACACCAAATCCTGTTTAATAATAATAATCCAGTGAGTTTCAGCACGGTTAGTGGCCGGAATGCACTGGATCGCATAATTAAAGGCAAACTATGAGGCGAGTGAAAATCACTCAGTCTCATAGTTCTAGCCAACCTGTGATAATGAAACTCACAGGTCAGCTCAACAGATCGGGAAGCGAGCGAATACATACCATCGCTCGCTCACTTCTCAATCCTGTCCCTGTAGAGAGCTGTGACTGTCACTCACAGCTCCATGCAGGGGTTCCCCTGTCCGATCCTCCAGCGCTGACGAGCAGAGGGGGTGGGTACAGCTGGGTGGATCCAGACATTAATGTCGGAATCCGTCCCGGTTGCGGCGTCTCAGCCGTGAGCTGTAGCTCGCGGTATACTGAGCCTAGGGTGATGGGAGGACGCTAGTTTGTCCTCCCGATACCCTTAGGAGAACTATGGGGAAAAGCGCTGACCCCATAGTTCTCCTTTAAAGCCTCCCACATTCTGAGGCAGGAGGAGGTGTGGTGGTGCTGCCATTCGAGTCAATGGCTCCGCAGTGCGATCACCCGCACCAGAAAGCGTGGCGCAGCAATGGCCATGGTGCGATCTCAAACAATAGTGCAATTGATATTAATGGAACTGCCACACCCTAGAATACAGGGAGGCTTGCTCTATGGGATTCAATGAGTTCTGGCCATTAACCGTGCTGGAATGCACTGGGTATGGTGTGAACAAGCCCTTAGCCATAATGTGGTAGTATGTACAACCTTCATAACATCTCCAAAATACACCCCTTCCTAACCAATGAAACCACAAAGCTACTCATCCACTCCCTTGTTATGGCTCGGCTATTGCAACTCCCTCCTCATTGGCTTACCTCTACACAGGCTCCTCCCCCCTTCCGTCTATCATGAATGCAGCTGCTAGACTCATCCACCTAACCAACCGCTCAGTGTCTGCAAACCCCTCTGCCAATCCCTCTGCTGGCTTCCATCCCCCACCACCCTCTGCCAATCCCTCCACTGGCTTCCAATCGCCCAAAGGATAACATTCAAAATATTAATGTCCATTTACAAAGCCATCCGCAACTCTGCCCCTGGCTATATCTCCAACCTTGTCTCAAAGTATCACACCTAACCATCTCCTCTGTTCCTCCCAAGACCCCCTGCTCTCTCAACTCCTCCCATGCTCGCCAACAGGATTTCTCTTGAGTCCCACCTATCCTTCGAAACTTCCTACCCCAACCTGTCTGGCTCTCTCCTACTCTGTCTGCCTTTAGGGTTTCCTTCAGGGAAGCCTAGCCCGCCTCAACCTAACTACTGAACTACAGTATCACTTTCTCAAACAATTCATCCCCACACAGCTCCCTCCTCATCTATCACTTCTCCCTCCCTTTTACACTGTAAGCCCTCAGGGGCAGGGCCCTCCTTACCATCTTGTCTTGAATTGTATTGTGATTGTAATTTTCCTTATATTTTAAAGCGCTGCTAAAACTGTTGGCGCTATATAAATCCTAAATATTAATAATAATGTACAACATATCAGCACATTATTGCAGACTTACCTTCCAGAATGATCCCCTTCAACACAATGCTCCTCCCTCTCCGGTTCTTCCATCTTCTCCCCATTCTTATCCTGAGTTTCAAGTGTTCAGATGCTTGATTGGCTGGGCTCCAATGACGTAACTCCCATGTATGTGCACAAGAGTAACTTCATCTCGGCATGCGGGTCTGTGCGCTCAGCTGCTCATGCGTGGCTCAGCGTGTAGAAAAAACAATGCTGACAGGTAGAAAGAAGCTTTGACTTGCACAGTCTCTTCTGTCATAGAAAGTTTTTTTTTTTTAAGTTTTAGTTACAGTTTAAAGGAGAACTATGGGGTTAAGGTTTTCCCCATAGTTCTCCTTAGGGTAATAGGAGGACACAAACTAGCGTCCTCCCGTCACCCTAGGCTCAGTATACCTGAGATGCTGCGAGCCACTGCTCGCGGTATACTGAGACGCCGCAGCTGAAGCAGATCCCGACAATTGTGCCGGGATCCGCCCAGCTGCGTGACTGACAGCTGGCTCTGCCTATCTAGAGGCAGAGCCAGCTGTACCCTCCCCCGTCCGTTCCGCCAGTCAGTGCTGGGGGAATCCAGCCCCTAAAGAATAAAATAGTCTATAAAAATAAAGTGTCAGGATGTCATGTATCTAGAAAAGTAAAAATAAAAACAGAACACAAAACCTAGACTACATGTTAAATGAATTAATTACTATTTGCCCGAATATACGAAAAATATATTCAGGCACATAATAATTTGTTTGAGAATGTGTGGCGGCCATGTTAGCCACCGGCGTGGTTTGCGAATACGTGCCACCATTCTGGAGGCAGGGAGCATGACGTCACATGACGCCATGCATGCCTGGCATCAGGTGACGTCACACGCCGATATAGGCGCTGCCATCTTGGTGTATACCTAGATATACACCAAGATGGTGGCTCCCAACACGTGCGGTGTAATATGAAGCCATGCACCCTGCCTCCAGAACACGCCAATGGCTGAATCCAAAATAGCATAAACATTTGTTTTGTTTGATAAACGAATGAAAAAGTTTTTCGTTTTCGTTCATTTCCTGTGCAATACATTTCTAGTCGTTGCACATGTCTAATAATACGTATGTGTGTGGGGGGGGTGGGATTTCACTTTTTTTAAAATATTTTTTTATTATTTTTTTTATATGACCCCTGACATTTACCTTTTTAAAATAGAAAAATAAATTGAGGACACAGATACCTCAATTTCTTTTTCTGCAGCCTCAGCACTCAATGAATGGGAAGCACATGATTTTATGAATGGGGAGTAGCACTCGGTACAGAGGCTTCCCATTCATTCACAAACTGATGATAGTAAAACATTTACTATCAAGCAGTTGATGAATGGGGAGGAGCCTCTGTACTGAGTGCTACTACCCATTCATAAAATCATGAATGAACAGGAAGTGATGTAAATCGCATCCTGTTTATTTTTAACTGGGGACACATAGTACTATGTGTCCCCAGTTATTTACAAAAACTGGAGTGATCAGACGATCACTCCAGTGTTTGCTCTGTCAAAATATCAAGCTGCAATCATCGTTCAGCGGACAATTTTTGGCCTGGCTCCTTTAAAAAAAGTTGAGTAGGCAA